GTTCCTGTTATCCCTGATTTCTCCAAGACCTTTATCATGAAGGGGTGTTGGATTTTGTCAAATGCTTTTTTAGCATCTAATGAGATGATCATGTGGTTTTTTTTTTTTTCCTCAGCTGTTTATATGGTGGATTCCATTGATTTTCGTATGTTGAACTATCCTTGCATCCCTGGGATGAAGCCTACTTGATCATGGTGGATGATTTCTCTGATGTGTTCTTGGATTCGATTTGCCAGCATTTTATTGAGAATTTTTGCATTAATATTCTTGGGATGTTGGTCTGTAGTTCTCTTTCTTAGTTGTGTCTTTGTGTGGCTTGGGTATCAAGGTCATTGAAGCCTCATAAAAAGAGTTTGGCAATGACCCTTCTGCTTCTATTGTGTGGAATACTTTGAGAAGATTTGGTATTAGCTATTCCTTGAATTTCTGGTAGAATTCTGCACTGAAGCCATTGGCCCTGAGCTTTTTTTGGTGGGGAGACTTCTGATGACTGCTTTTATTTCATTAGGGGTTATAGGTCTATTTAAGTTGCTTATCTGTTCTTGATTTAATTTTGGTAAGTGAAATCTGTCCAGAAAATTGTCCATTTCCTTTAGATTTTCGAATTTTGAGAAATACAGGTTTTCGAAGTATGAGCTGATGATTCTGTGGATTTCTTCTGTGTCTGTTGTTATGTCCCCCTTTTCATTCATCATTTTATTAATTTGCATGTTCACACTCTGCTGTTTGGTAAGTTTGGATAAAGGTTTAATCTATCTTGTTGATTTCCTCAACGAACCAACTCTTCTTTATATTGATTCTTTGTATTGTTCTCCTAGTTTCCATTTTATTGATTTCAGCCCTCAATTTGATTATTTCCTGGCATCTGCTCCTCCGGGGTGTATTGGCTTTTTTGTTTTCTAAAGCTTGTGCTGTTAATTCTCTAGTATGATTATTCTCCTGTTTCTTCATGTGGACACTTAGTGCTATGATCTTTTCTCTTAGCACTGCTTCCAAAGTGTTCCATAGGTTTGGATATGTTGTGTCCTCATTCTCATTGAATTTTAGGAAATCTTTAATTTCTTTTTTTATTTCTTTCTGGACCCAGGAGTTGTGCAATTGAGTGTTACTTAATTTCCATGAGTTTTTAAATTTTCTGTAATTCGTGTTGTTGTTGAATTCTAACTTTAAAGCACGGTGGTCTGATAAGATACAGGGGGTTATTTCAATTTTTTTGTACCTGTTGAGGTTTGCAGTGTTGCCAAGTATGTGGTCGATTTTAGAGAAGGTTCAATGTGGCGCTGAGAAGAAGGTAAATTGTTTTGTATTTGGATGGAATGTTCTATAGATATCTGTTAGGTCCAATTGGACCATAACTTCTATTAGTTCCTTTGTTTCTTTGTTAAGTTTCTGTCTGGTGTTCCTGTCCAGTGGTGAGAGTGAGGCGTTGAAGTCTCCCACTATAAGTGTGTGCAGTTTTATATGTGATTTGAGTTTTAGTAATGTTTCTTTTACGAATGTTGATGTCTTTGTATTTGGGCCATAAATGTTCAGAACTGAGAGTTCGTCCTGATGAATTTCTCCTCTGATGAGCAGGAAGTGACCTCCTTTATCTCTTTTGATTGGAAATCTAAATTTATTAAGTGAAGAGAAAAAAAAACTTACTTCAAACGAATGTAAGAGTACTGATATTGTAACTATGTTGTAATATAACTATACATTTTTTCTGGATCTTTAAAATGATTAAATTTTACCAGAGGTGAGGTTTTTTTTTTTTTGTTTTTTTTTTTTTTTTTTTTTTTGGTTTTTTTTTTTTCTTATGAAAGGACCAAATAATACAATCCAGCCAGACTCTTCACTCCAGAACTTTTTTTCCACTGCAAAGATTGATTTAAGGACATAGCTCTAGATGTCATGAGAAACACATTTCTTTTTTAAAATTGAAATTTCAGCTAGGTGGTGGTGGTGCATGCCTTTAATCCCAGCACTTGGGAGGCAGAGACAGTTGGATCAGTGAATTCAAGGCCAGCATGAACTGCAAAGTGAGTTCCAGGACAGCTAGGACTGTTATACAGAGAAACCCTGTCTTCAAAAAGCAAAATAACACAAAACAAAAATAATTAAAATAATAAAATTAATTTTTAATTCTGAAATGAGTTGTTTTGTTTACACTTAGCAATGCCATTGAAATTTGATTATGAAAAGATAATTTTAGGATATACAATTAAGTTGTTTTACTGAATTTTTGGGGGTGTTGTCTAATTATAGGTTTTGAAAATTGATGATGTCACAATAAAAACCAGTGCCTTGAAGGCAATCTTTGACCAGCTGATGACATTTGGGATTGAACCATTTAAAACTAAGAAAGTTAAGGCCATTCAGTGTGAAGATGAAGAAATAAACAGTGATGATGAACAAGAAGCAAAAGATGTTGAAGAGACTGCCACAGCTAAGAATGTTCTGAAATTCCTTTCTGATTTCCTAGATAGTGAGGTAAGAAGTCATTCAGCTCTACAGTTATGAAGTATTTGTAGCATGTGTTTATGTTCTTAGCTGTAAGTTTTGTACCAAAGTTTACCTTTGACACAGTTTAAATTTTAAATGTATTATAATTAGTTTTCATTATCAAATTGGTATACAAAGAATTGAAGGATTTTTATCACAGTATTTTTATCACAGTCACAGACATGTAAACAACAAACTTTTGCAAATGAACATTTTTCCCTTTTTAAGAAGTATTTATTAAATATTTTTGCTTTTTCTTAATTTTCTGTTCTGTTCTAGAACAGAAATTCAGCTGAAGGCTGAATGGGTACACATGTGCATGCATGCTTGTGCATATGTTTAACTTTAGATTGCTGAATTGAATTGGCTTGTTAACAAGTAACTTTGGAAGAGGGGGATTCTTGGGATTTTTTCTGAGTGTAGAACCATGCTATTTCTAAATAGGTACCATATTAGTGCCTTTTGTTTTTTGTTCAATTGTTGTGCTTCATCTTGTGGTGCAGTGTTAAGTAGCTGAAGCAGATGTCCTTTTCCTATTCCTGGTTTTAAGGGGAACATTATGAATTTTGTTAATAAATGTACTCTTGGTTATAAGGCTTTCATGAATGTATTTTACCATTTTGAGAGGATTACTTTCTATTCTTAGATCCCTTGCTATTTTGTGTTTGTATTTTAATAAAAAATTGTTTAATTTTTTGAAGTGTTCATTTTGCTTCAATCAATATGATCATGAGGGATTTTCTTCTTTTTGACGTGTTAATAATGATATGTAATTACTTGATTGTTATATGTACCACCTGTGCATTTGTGTGATAAATTCTGCTTGCTCCTGATGCATGGCCCTTTCACTTTGTTCATGAATTTGGTTTGCTACTATTTTGATCAAAATTTTTATTATTTTATTTTTCGAGACAGGGTTTCTCTGTGTAGCTTTGGAGCCTATCCTGGCACTCGCTCTGGAGACCAGGCTGGCCTCGAACTCACAAAGATCCTCCTGCCTCTGCCTCCTGAGTGCTGGGATTAAAGGCGTGCGCCACCAACGCCCGGCATTGATCGAAAATTTTTAATTTATTTTTGTAAGTGATATTCATGCATAGTTTTCTTGTTATGTCTGATTTTCTTTCTCCATATTTTCTATTGATTACCTAATTTTAAATTTTGTTTGCTTTACACTTAGATTATTTGCTCTTTTCTCGTTAAATAAGGTGTTATTTAGGTTATTGACTTGCCTTTTTAAGTGTAGATATTTATTTCTACAAACTTTGCTCTGAGCATTATTCATTGTAATCCTGTATTTTATTTTAGTTCTTTTTTTTGAGACAGCTATGTTCTGTAGCCAAGTTAGTTTATAACTTTATAGCCAAGGCTAGCTGCAAACCTGCAGTGTTATTTCTATTTTTATCAAATTCATAATAAAATTAATGATTTTTGGAAAGTTAATTTAAAATATCACACATAATCTTATAAAGAAACTAGAGTTAAAACTTTCTGATTGAGTGTCATTTTTACTAGGTATCTGAACTCAGGACAGGAGCTGCAGAAGGACTAGCCAAGCTGATGTTCTCTGGGCTTTTGGTCAGCTGCAGGATTCTTTCTCGACTTATTTTGTTATGGTATAATCCTGTGACTGAAGAGGATGTTCGACTTCGACATTGTCTAGGCGTGTTTTTCCCCATGTTTGCTTATGCAAGCAGGTATCGAGTCACTGATAAAATCTTATTTGATGTCAGATCCTGCCCCCCATGCACACCTGAATTTTATGTATGTCATTTGTTATTGATATACCTTTTTTCAGTAGATGAAGATAAGAATGTAACATATATTTTATATAACCAGATTTTTTATCTCTTTCCTGTATTGAAGTATACCTTATCTTCAATAGGTCTATTTTATGCATATTTTAGAATTAGACTTTTCTCTCAAATAATGTTTTGCCAACATACTTGTAAATGAAGTTTTTGGTCAAATCACTTGATTCAGAAGCATGAATTTAGGGAGGGCCAAAAACGTTAATGGGATCTGAAGTCTTTCAGCAGGGCAGATGTCCTTGGCCTTGTAATGAAAGTTTGAATTGCTTTTCAATAGGACTAATCAGGAATGCTTTGAAGAAGCTTTTATTCCCACCTTGCAAACACTGGCCAGTGCCCCGGCATCATCTCCTTTAGCTGAAGTAGATGTCACAAATGTTGCTGAGTTGCTTGTTGAACTGACAAGACCAAGTAGATTAAATCCTCAGGGAAAAAATTCCCAAGATTATCAGGTGTGTATGTTAGCCTGTGGGTGGCAGATATACCTACATGAAGATCATTGTTGGTTGATTAAAGAATTCCCTCTGCTGGGTTTTTTGAAATCGTGATGAATTACATTTATATTTTTGAAGTTTTTGTTTTTCTGATTTATAAAGCAGTTCCAAGAGGGGAAGAGATCTTTCAGGAAATGTGGAGAAATCATGAAAATAGAAATAATCAGTGCAAATGTTTTGTAACCTAGACATTACTAAAACTTCATTATTTCCATTACCTTTCTCTTCAACTGCATGGTAATCATTGCAGTAGTGACCTCTGCTATCTGAGATTCATTACATCTGCAAATATAATGAGAACAGTTTAAAGGCAAGGTATCTCAAGTTAATTTTGGCTCTTAAGTGGGGCATATAAGTCAATTGCAAGCTTACCTATAATTTAATTATAATTAAACTGTTTCAAAATCCTTTGATGACATTTGCTTGACCACTTAGAAATTTGATGTGTTAGTGATTTCAGATGCCATTTGGAATTTGACAGTTGTTCTGTTTATATATATTTTTTGTTATTTAGTGACTACTCTGTTACAACATTATATATTATTGGGAAGTTTATATTACAAAGCATATTAAGCAAAATATCTTAAGGAGTAGTTATTATCCACCATGTGCTTTTGGATTTTAGAAAAGTATAAGATTTGTTATAGGAATCATGAATGTATCATTAGTTTTTGTGGTGATATATTGTTTATGATTTTAAAGCTTGGTTAAGTGTTCAGAAAGCAAAGCTAGCCACAAACCATAGATGTCAGGCAATGGTGATACACACCCTTAATCCCAGCAGCCATAATAGATGTCAGGCAATGGTGATACACCCCCTTAACCCCAGCAGCCATACTAGATAGCCGTAGAGGCAGGTGGTGATGGCACACACTAATAATCCAAGCACTCAAGAGACAAGCCGATGGATCTCTGTTAGTTCAAGGCCACACTGAGCTACATGAAATTGATCCAGTCCTTAAGAGAAACAGCTCACACAAAGATGATCTCAGCATTTGGGATAACACACCTTTAATCCCAGCACATACACACACTCTCTCTCTCTCTCTCTCTCTCTCTCTCTCTCTCTCTCTCTCTCACACACACACACACACACACACACACACACACACACACACACACACACACATATTCATAGTGTTTTGTTTTGGTTTTTGGTTTTTCGAGACAGGGTTTCTCTGTATTGCTTTGGAGGCTGTCCTGGAACTCGCTCTGTAGACCAGGCTGGCTTCGAACTCACTGAGATTCTCTTGCCACTGCCTCCCAAGTGCTGGAATTAAAGGCGTGTACCACCAATGCCCGGCGTGTGCACGCGCCCGCGCGCGCGCGCGTGTGCGCGCGCAAAGGCGTGTACCACCAATGCCCGGCGTGTGCACGCGCCCGCGCGCGCGCGTGTGCGCGCACACACACACACACACACATCTGTATTATGATGAGAGCATTTTCATTTTACAGAGCTTTTCTTTTTAATTTTTTAGGCCTTAACAGTACATGACAACTTGGCTATAAAAATTTGTAATGAGATGTTAACAAGTCCATGTACACCAGAAAATCGGGTTTATACAAAAGCTTTGAGTTCTTTAGAACTCAGTAGTGGTGCTACAAAAGATCTCCTGCTTCTATTGGATGAGATTCTGGAGGTAAAGCAACTTTTAATACTCTTGAGTAATTCATGTTCATATTTATCAGAATGTAATTTAGATAGATGTATTAAATAATACCTGTTATTATATATCCTGCCTGTTCATTTTAAATTATTGTTTCCTTCATGAATATCATATAACTTAAGAATGTTTTCAAACAACATGATATTGGTGTATAACTTTAAAAGATTAATTTATTTTACATTTCCCTCCTCCCCCCAGCAAGTAACAGATAGGACATGTCTGAGAGCTTTGGAGAAAATCAAGATTCAGTTAGGCAAAGGAAGTAAAGAATCTGACCAAGCTGTAGTAGCACAGGATGTCAACATGACTACAAATGTTCTTCAGAATGAAGATGGTAATTGCATACTGACCTGAATATCTATAAAATTTACATTTTTCATCTTTACTGAGATTTTTATTCTGTTTTGATTGAATTTCCAAAATGAACAAAAATCTTTTTCTTCTTAATCTCTTAGAAAACGCTATTATACATCCATTTATTCTACTTATCAATTTATTTGAGTACATTTTTTACTAACCATCTGGCCAGGAGCTTCATTTTGTAGTATTCACACTTTTGAAATAGTGATTTATTGTAACCTTCAGTAGCTGCTAATAGGACCATTTTCTGTTTGTTTTATGTGAGATAAAAGATCACTTTAACAAAACAATACTGTCTTTTGTTTGTATTTTTGTATGATTCTATGTATAGAAGGATATGTGACTCCTCTGAGGAATGTAAAAGGAGCTCAAGCATCAAAATCCACACAAGGAAAGACTAACAGAGGTAATGTTTGGATTGACTGCATCTTATAATCAAACTATTTTCAAATAAAAATGGTAACTTTGCAAGCTTTACTTTCTTAGCAATAAAAATTAAGGACTCTTTGTAGGTAAATTAAGAATAGGTTAAATTGCCAGAATTGGTGGCACATGCCTTTAATCCAGCACTTGGGAGGTAGAGGTTTGTGGATGTCTTGAGTCTGAGGACAGACTGATCTACATAGTGCTAGGACAGCCAGGACTATGTAGACAGCCCTGTATCAAAAAAACAAAAACCAACCAAACGTAAAAAAGGTTAAATAATAGTTTTATATTATTAGTAGTATTAGTATTTTTTCGTGAATGAACATTTTTTTTCTTCTTGAAGTTTTTGCTTTTCTTTTTACTTTCTTTTCCCCATCTAATTTCATTTTTTTCCAACTCCATTTCCCAAGGGGTATCCAAAAGTAGAGTAAGTACATGTTTATTAGTAGGGGACCATGTGGAAAAACAATCTGAAATTCAAGGGCTTTTTAATTGTTTTATTAATTCCTTATTACAAAAGCACTGCATGCTTATTACAGAAGAATAAGAAAGTACATCCAAGCAGACCTACCATCAAGAAGACTAATAGTCACACCCATGAGCCAAACATGATTTTAATTATTGTAAATAGTTTATGGCTCAGTTCTAAGTATATTTAATCTTTTCTAGAATAGAATCTGGCCATAATATTGTTTCATAACAAACCAATTATTTAAACACCAATTACTGGATATTGTTCCAAATTACTTCCATATTCTTGGATGTCTTCCTGGGGATAAATACATTAGTGAAAGCAAATAAATAAAATATGAGGGGAAAATATCTAACAACGAATAGGGTATATACAATTTTCAAATAAATTGTCAAATGAAAAATTGATTTCGATCAGATTTACAAAGTAAAGAATGAGAATTCCACCTTTTTTTTAAATAGCTCAAACTTAATGTATACATGCTATATCTTCTTAGAAATGAACATTGCAGGCTGGC